CACCAGGTCTGCGCGCTTCCTACAATCTTTTCCTTCGAAGTCCATCGAAGAGTATTCGGTGTTGGCTCCTTGGATTTCAATAAGGTGGTGGTCATCTTGTACGAGCCTCCTGAGCTGCTGCCTCCCGTCTCTCCCTCCAGGTGCCTCTGATCTTTTACCAATTGGGCTAGCTCCATAGCCTCTCCCAAGTCACAAGGCCTCATTACTCTAACCACTGTCCGGATCTCTGGTGTCAATCCTTTCATGAAGTTTTCCTCTAGCACTATCTCAAAAAGGTGGTCCAATCGGCTAGCAAGGTACTCTAATCTCTCTCGGTATTCCTTCACTGAACTCTCCTATGTTAAGGCGAAGAACTGCTCATAGAAGTCTCTTCCCCTGCCAGTTCAAAAACGTTCTACCAAACAATCCTTGAACTCTCTCCAACTCCGTATGGGTCGTCGAATGTCTCTCCACTTATATCAGGACAAAGCCTTCCCTTCTAAATATAGGCCCGCTGCCATCAGTCTCTCCTCTATTAGCCTATTGACGGTGAAATATATTTCTACATTGTAGATCCACCCGTGCGCATCCTCCCCCTCAAAGATTGGCATTTCCAATTTTCTCACGCTCCCGTTTCCCCTAAATCCTCTATAACCTCCCATTCCTCGAAGCGGAGGTGCTCCCCAATTTTCACTATCTTCCCTCCGACGATCATATCCAAATCATTCATCAAAATCCCCTCTTCTTCTTTCAAAATCAGCACACCGGTGATTGAAATCATCCCCTCTCCTTACAAATTAAATCCCCCTTCTTGTGTAGCTAATGCTCATCTCCTCCATAGAAAGTGGTTCTAGAGAAGGCATTCCACCTTCTCCCTCCAAGATCTCCACATATTGATTTTCCCTTCCCCTAGACGTATTAGGGCTCTCATCTCTTCCATGGCCGCCGGTAGTTTCATTTGCTTCCGATGTCACCGGTTTGGTTTTGGCTTCAAACAATTCCTTCAACATGTCTTCCACCACGGTGAACTTTTCCTCCATCCTTTCATTGACAGATGCAATCTGATTTTGAAAATCAACAATCTTTTCCTCAAAACATGCTTTGAGTTGCCCACGTTCTCCCTCCAAAACTTCCATTTTCCTTACGGTCATTGGTTTCCCTTCGATCGACATGCTATGATACCAATTCGATAGGAAACACTTGTAGATCTCAAGTATTTCCTATCAATCTTTGGAAAACAATGAGAATTCTCCACAAAAATCCACACAAAAATAGGAAAAACAGTATATATTTTGTATTATTTGATGAAATAGAAACTAGAAATAGCAAGATACAGTTTATCCTCAATTCGAGGAGGATTGATATGTCCCAAATCTCTAGACGCCGCTAGAGCCCAAAAGAAAACTTAAATCTAAGAGATCTCAAATTTCAGCCAAATTCAAGATGCCCTAACCCTAGGAAAATAAACTATTTGATGCATACAAATCAAGAGGAAATCCATAAATAGTCCCTACATTCAAATTCCCTCCTAAACTCCCTTAAAAAACCCTTCCAAAACTGCTTGGTTGGCGCTTGCGGTGTGATTGGCGTACAAGAGAGGCGGACGTTTTTGCCTTGGTTCCGCTTGGGCTGGTCCCGTATGGATTGGTCTAACAGCGAGCTCTTATAACACGGGCTTCATTGGGGCACGTACTTGCCTATCTTTGACCTTACTCTAGTGAGTACTCTGCAAGATGAAGCTCATTTTAGTAAAGTGCACCTTTTGACCAGGCTCTTTAGGAGTGAATTTGTTTGTTACTAATGAGTTATCTATGTCCGGCATGTATGAACATACGAGAATAAACTTCTATGATTTTATTTTATATAAAGGGAAATTGACCAAAATTGTCTCTTGACATTTTATAAAAGATCAAAATGATCTCTAACTATATTAAAATACTATTTTGTCCCTCAACTCCTTAAAATGAACTAAAATAATCCCACTATGAGACTTTTTTTTTCCTCTTGAAGGACTTGCGGGATCAAAATAATCCTTTAATATAGTTGGGACCATTTTGGTCCTTCATAAAGAGTCAAATGACCATTTTAGTTCTTTTCTCTTTATATAAATGATACAAGTTATATGAGGATAATGTTTACATAAAAGTGATTGAGGCCATGAGATTGAAACCCGTATGAAATTTTCAATGGCTGTGTAATCTCCATATGGGCTTATTAAGTATTAATTGGCTTATTTACGCGTGATCCATGTAAAACTCCGAACTACTGAAGTGCATACAATATGAGCATGATCTACTCGTGCTGCATATATTATGGAAACTATGAAAATGCAATAATGTTTTTGAATTCGTCAAGTGTGGCTGTATATTGCATGTGGAATAAGTAGTTAAAGTAAAGTTTAGATTTTATAGCTGGTCTACAATATAAACCACAAAAGTTGGGCTCTGCAATTCAAAACTTGAAGCCGTATAAACAATATAATATTTACTTTTTTGTTTTATAATGTCTTTTTCAAGCAATAGAAATTTGTATTATAATTCATGATATAACTGATCATGATATGCTTTCTTGATGTCAGCTTCTATTCAACTTTTTATCTTATGCTTGTTGGTTTTTCTCTGGAAAAATAAATGTCCAAGTTTTACTTTTAGTATATGAACTTCATTAAGTCAACACACATGTTTTTCTTGTCAGCAAACTCTATTGTACTATGTACCGATATAACTATTGCACCATAATACAAACTAAAAACCTGCCAAAAATTCCAGAATAAGTTGGCGTAAACTGGTCATCGGATTCCCATACCTCTTAACATATAGGCATCCCAATCAATCCTAGTATCTGAATCGGTAAGAAGGAACCTGAAATTCTTTAATAACATGATGATGAAATATTAAGTAAATCACTCAACACATTATACATTGAAAAGGCTTTATTGATCTTATATCGAATAAAGTAAATAATAAGGGACATTATGGGTATGGTCGAGGTGGCTATAGTTTTTTTTTTTAAATGTGATTGTAAAGCTGTTATGGATAAGAAAAAAAATTTTAGGGACTATTTTTTTTGAAGAAAAGTGAGTCTAAAATATTCGAAATGTAGAAATTTTAGAAATTTTGCTGTTTGGTTAGATGAAAAAGGAATGCCGAGTAAAATTTTGATGAATTTCATATTCACTTCGTAGTTAATTTTTGATAATTCAAAATTAGCCCATTTTCAGCTGATTTCCTAAATACTCTGCAAGCTAACTCCGCTCTCAGAGCCTGTTATTGCCGCCTGCCCTATGCTACCTATCCATATCCTCAATGTCGCCGTTGGTCATATCTACTGGTTGCAATACACCATTGCTGGCTACCGCCATCTTTGATCTTTATATTGCATTCATTTTATTCAAACCAAACAAAAATAAATAAATAATCACATGCATTTATTTTAAATTTATCCAAACAATTCGAAACAATTCAAATACATGACATTCATTTTATACTGTACTCTTTTTTACTTTGCATTCCTTTTATAGTAAATCAAAGGGCTTTAAAATTGTTTTGACTATTATAAATACTTTCTTATAGTTGTCACGTTAGTAAATTCTCACCATAAAAGTTTTTGTAAAGCAACAAAAAAATGGTAGTCGAATAAAACAAAATAGTGAAAAGGTTGCCCCAAACAATCCCGAAAATGATTTTGGACCCTCCTTAATCACATGAAACATATCCATACATCTTATAATAATGTAGTCTATTTGTTGCATATCTCATTAAATATTATCCCTTTTAATAACAAAAATTAATATTGTATTTAGATTTAAAAATTAATCATATATTTAAGTAGACACAATATTGATTGATCGACAATTATGCCCCTGTGATCTGTTTTCTTTGTATCACAAACATTAGGTTTCACAACTTGCCAATCTAAGCTATCAGATGGGAGGAACTGCAATTCAATTCATTCTATAACAATAAATTTATATCATTTGGTATGGAAGTTCTGCGTTCTCTTAAGAACAAGGATCTATTTGAAACAACTAATAAATATTTATACTAGAAAGCTGTTTTAAGAATCAGTAAGAAAGCGGTCCCATTTGAAACTATTTTGTTACTATTTTTTAAAGCGACTTTTTAGTACAAGAAGTTTTTTGTTTAAGAAATTTTTGTTCGAAAAAGTTGCTTTTAAAAAACAATAAGAAAATTGTCCAGCTTTAATTACACATGATTAACTACTTAAACTTTACAAGTTTGTAGGGGTGTCAATTTCGGGTCACGGGTCAGGTTTGGGTCGAACCAGGAACTGACCTGGGTTTAAATGGGTCGACCCTAACCGACCTGGGTAGGAAAACGGGTTGGAAATCCGAACCCGGACCTGACTCGGCGGGTTGCCGTGTTGACTCGACCCGACACGGGAAGCTGGCTTGGACTCGGGCGCGGACTTAAGCACAGACTCGGCGCGGATGCGGGCTCGGACTGGCGAGGCCGTGCGGGCGGGTGCAGAGCGAGCAGCATCGCGGGCAGTCGCGCGGGCATCCTCGTTCGCGCGGTAGAGTGCTGGCAGGGCCTGGGCAGGGGGCGGGCAGCTTCGTGGGCAGCCGGGTAGGGGGTGGGCAAGCTAGGGCAGCTACGCGGGCAGCCGGGCAGACAATAAAACGGGTTTTCGGGTTGACCCGGCAACCCGTCGGGTCAACCTGAACCCGACCCGTTTTTCAAACGGGTCCGTTTTGAAAACGGGTCGGGTCTAAACCGAAAATTCCGGGTCGGGTTCAGGTCGGATTTTCGTGTCGTGTCAAATATTGACACCCCTATAAGTTTGAATAGTTTAATACTTAGAGAAATACTACTTATTCTTCTTATTACTGCCACATAATGTACCCTACCTTTTTCTGAGAAATCCCAGGCCACCAGGCGCACTGCAATGGACAACATTTATAAAGGAAACCTCAAAGATCTAACATTTATTTTCATGATGCACAATTGCTCTTCTGATAGTATAATACTAATATTCATTTAAAAAAATTCATTTTGAAGGTGTGGGAGGTTCAACAATGGAGGACCAATCCTACATCAGGAGGAAAGGTGTTGCTGTCCTTATCAAATGTTACCTTACTATGTAATTTACCATCACCCATGGTGATGAAAAGCTTTGAAGATGCTATGAAGAAGTATTCTAAGCTTTGAGACTCTTACAGTTTGATTGAAATGTTTTGAATATGAGAAATATGAGTTGTTTGAACTATTTTTTTCAGTTATAATGTACCATCCTTTCGCATTATCATTTGTTTTAAAAGAAATTTGTTATTTAATATCATCCCAGATCCTAAATGATAACCAGATGATATAAAAAGATAGAACTGAAGACATTTTTTTTCCTTAATGTTGCTTGAAGCCAAATCAAGATTTTTTTTTTTCTATATAAACCCTCATATTTATAAACTTTAGCCCACCACTTGTTTAATAAATTTATTTGATATTAAATAAAATTTTTGAAAAAACCATGTTTCTAAAATATCAAATATATTATATATTGTGTCAAAATATAAAAAATTAAATAAAAAGGATCTCAAATTACCCCTAAAAACTTATTTAGTTAATTTGACTCAACTAATTTTTGTGATGCATTGTAATATTATTAAGAAAAAAGAAATAGCCAAACTTTTTAATCAAATATATTAAACTTTATAGTTAATAAATTATTATTATTTTTAACTAAAATGAGTTAATAGGTCGGATTTAGATCATTGAAGTTGCTAGGGAGTCAGATTTGAGTTGATTTTTTTATTTATTTATTATACAAATAAAGTTTGAATTGACCAAATTTAGGCCGAATCATTTTTTAAGCGAGATGGGAATCCAATATAAAATTTTAAAACTAAACATAATTAAAAATTATATTAAGCGCTTAAGAATAATTTTAAAAAAATTATAAGTAGACAAAGTCACCTGTTTAAACAGATATTTACCCCTGACTGTATTATTTATGTCTTTTTTCTTCAGCTGAGTTGATAAAAATATGTCATTGTAAAAAAGTAAAAAATAAAAAAAATATAGGTGGCATGCTGACATGGCATACTTAAGTCACCCGTTAATTTTTTAATAATGACACCAAATAGCTATTTTTTCATAATTATTTTAAAGATAATTAATGGGCGACTTACATAAGTCGCCAAATAATCCGGCGACTTTTGTTAATCCTAATTTTTTCTATGGATAACGGTTTGCTGACTCAACTATGTCTAGTCAGCATAAGTCGCCTTTCAAGACACAACTTTGTCTAATTTTAATTTTTTTTTGAAATCATATCTATACGCTTAATATAATCTTTAAATATGCTTAATCTAAAAATTTTATAGCGAACCCAATCCGTGAAATCATTTTGACACACCTTTAGGGGGTGTTTGGTATATGATTGGATTCAATTTTAGTAGGATTTATTAAATCCTGTAAATCCGAATTTAGTAAATTCTGGGCTCTTAAATCCTGAATTGTGTTTGGTATGACAATTTTTAAATCCTGTTAAATCCAGAAAGATGTTTGATATTAATTAAGTTAATCAGTAATGAAAGCTTCTAGGTTTGCTTTTAATCTTCACTTATTAGTCCATGCTGTTCGGCTTCGTTGCTTCACAGGAGGTGTTGTGATTGCACGAGTCAGATTCTTGGTCTCCTTCGTTGCTTCGCAGGAGGTGTTGAGATTGCGCGAGTCGCTTCTTCGGCTCCTTCGTTGCTGTTCGACTTGGCTACTTCGTTGCTGTTCGACTTCGCTCCTTGACGTTCCCTTCCTGTCGGATCAGACGTTACAACATTTTGATCTGAAGCAACGACGGGAGCTCCCTCTCGCTCGCCGTGAAGGTAACTTCCTCCCTTTCGCGCGCTTCTTCGGCCAAATCCCGTAAATCCGACTTCTAGAGGGATTAGGATTTACAGGGATTTAGCGGATTTACGCCGTAAATCTGCAAATCCGGGATTTACGGATTTGCCGGATTTGCCGCGACATTTTTTGCGTTTGGCTGGATTTACCGTAAATCCTACTAAAAACTCGAAATAAATCCGAAACCAAACACCCCCTTAGACTTTCAATTGAAACGCCTTCCTCGTTGACCTCATTTATGTGTTTTCTTGATTTCCCTCACTTGCGCCGGCTCAGTTTTTCTGGTCTGGAATTTGTTAATTTGTTTTGGATTAGGCACAGTCAGTCTATTTCACCGAATTAAGGAGAGCTGGTGAGAAATTATTGGGTGAAGCATTATATATCTGATTAATTTGATTATTCTTTGATTTTTTGTTTATGATTCATTCGTTTTGAGTCTCGATTGTATGGTCTGGTCGGTCATGAAAAGCTTGTTTGGTTGGGAAAACATTTGGGTTTGTATATAATGACCAAAATTCTGTAAGTATGGTCATAAAGCTATTGGATCTATTTTGATCAGCATATGAATAATCAATCAAAATTTATGTTGCACCCATCTTAAAGTAAATTTCGAATCTTTGAGCATCATCTTGTTGTCTTGATGATCCAATTTCATTCCACTTGGTTGCATCAAGGGTTTATTCTCGCACAGTAAACTTGCTTGTGCAAAGTTTTGTAATGGATGTTCTAATCTAATGCCGTTTTTCATTATATTACCTAATATCTGATCTAAACGGTAACATGAGGAACTTTTACCAAGGTTCTTTGCGCTGAGTTCAGCCATTAGCTGGACATACTGGAGAACAACTGAGACCTCTCCACAGTACTTGGCTGCTGTTTTTATGTCTGTTTGTTATCATGTTTTTGTATCTGCTTTAACTAAATAACAAAGGCTGCAATGCATTTTGTTTTGCAATTGCAGCATTTTCTTTTCTGAACCCCATATTTATTCAGTTTCCTTCATATGCCCAATTTAGTTGCTTGTAAATAGAAAATATGTTTCTGGAAATGATGATTTTGCTTCACTTATTTTGAGTGTGAAAAATGTAATCATCACTTTTCAGTGAATTTTGAAAAGGTTTGTGGTATGTAAAATCAGTTTTAGTTTGTAACTACATTCAATGAAATGATATAGTTAACGAATTTTATCATATTTCAAAAAATGATTTCTAACTTCAATCAACCAATTGTGCCTTTAAAGTAGCATTTGTGCTGTTTAATACAATTATTTGTACTCTTTGTGATAGCTGAAACATGTGAAGTTGGTTAATAAGCTCTCTATCCATGAACTTTTAGTGCTATTGACATTCCTCCTTCTCATTATTTGCTATATGGTAAAAGGGGAAAGAGATACGGTATTTTGTAGAATGTTAAGCTTGTTATTTGTTATTAATATCATTCTCTTCTTTCTTATTTTATATTTATTTGTGATTATAAATTTCCCAAAGGGTTATAATCACAAAGGGTTTCAAGTCAGCATAGGATGGCCACAACTAGCTCAAAGAATGGTATGATTTCCAGATATTTTACTTGGTATATATTGCAGATTTTTTATATTGCTCTAAATTGGGTGATTTAATCTTTATAGCAAGGAAGAAGGAAGTGAAGAAAGAAACTGGACTTGGTCTAACATATAAGAAGGATGAAAATTTTGGAGAATGGTACTCTGAGGTTAGTGTATGGATGGTATAGGATTCTAGTTTTATTTTACACTACTGCAGTCTTCTCATATTATTGTTTTCAACGGAAATTTAGGTTGTTGTTAATAGTGAAATGATTGAATACTATGACATCTCTGGCTGTTATATTTTGCGACCTTGGACAATGGCAATCTGGGAAACCTTAGAAGTAAGTTTTTTTGCTTGAGTTATTCTGGATAATGTTTTTTAATCAACTAAATATGTTACTCAAGTTAGTGCGCTTATTTTTTTAAATTGTGGATGCACTGTTCTTAGATACTTTTGGTCATCTGCAGGCTTAATAATCATGCATATATATATATATATATATATATATATTTTACTTCAACTGAAGATGCATTGTCTTCATTTTTTTATGTTTCTAAAGCTTTACAAATCATTGGTCAATTTTCTATTTGTTATTGTTATATGTGGTTTTATCAACTATCATGATTATTTTTCTTTTCTTTTAAAGACAACCACATTTATTTGATCTGTGACTGTTCACTTGGTTTAAATTTTGCAGGCATTTTTTGATTTAGAGATAAAGAAAATGAATGTAAAAAATGCTTATTTTCCTTTATTTGTTACGGAGAATGTTCTTCAAAAGGAGAAGGATCATATTGAGGGTTTTGCTCCAGAGGTATGAGCTGGCTTAATGTTCTTCACATATGTATAATGTTTTGGTGTTCACTATCTTAATTTTTTTTATTTTTTAATTTAGATTTATTTTATTATAAAGCTGGTAACCTTATGATTTGCACATTTGGAAATTTTAGAAGAGTTATTTACTTGTTTTCTGGAAAATATACTCGTCAGAAGATTTGGAATATCAATTTGGATTTAAATTTCCAAATTTCGTGTGAAAAAATGTATAAAATTACATTTCTTGATCTACTGAGTATACTTGACAGCTACCTTTAAGTGTTATGAATTATTCATAGCAATTACTTGCCCAAAATAAGAAAGAAATACTTCCCTTTTTTTCTATGGACTTGCGACAATTGAAGGCATGATACTAGTGGGCCACCTTGGGGCAAAAATGTTGGAATTCTTACATAGGGCAAATTGACAAGATTGGCAAGTATGTGAATGCAACTCTGGGTGTTTCCTCAGATCATTGACTTGGCTGCTTCTCCACACTTAGATGGTGTCCTATGGTCAATGATTTGAGAAAATTTAGCAGGCATCTATAATATTGTTTTCTATTGATTCTATCATCCATTGTTAGTAGTTTTTTAAGTGCAATTTATGTCATTTTTTTTTTCGTTTATGATTTATTACTTCCTATAATTAGAGACATGTTTTGGCCGAATAAAGAATGGAGGATTCCACCTTTATTCCTCTCTATTTCTCTTCTACTTGTTTTTTTTTTTCCTTACTTGGTATCAAAGGTATTTCTTGTTCAAGCTATGGTTGACAACTAGAAGAGGACCCTAACTTGTTCTAGCATAAAAGAATAGAAGATCGGTTCTCCCCCCACCTTTTGAAGTTATGCCATCATTTTGTGAGTCTCCATGTAGCTCTCATAGTTTCATATCACTTCCATACAAAATAAATGGAAAGAACTCTTTCTATTCTCTTGCTCAGTTCATATGATGATCCGGGGAAGAGAAAATATTTGATATCTAATGGTGCCATCCATTAACCTGAAATGATCAACCTTCCTTTTTATCATGGGATTCCATTAATGTTCTTATAATATGTCGACTTATCATTGCCATGGAAGATCATATTAGATCATTGTAGTTGGTCTACATCACTGCACAAGCAACATGGGGGAAAGTTAACATGGTCACTGAAATCTTGAAAATTTTGCTCAACTGTGTGAATTATGAAGTTAAATTTGTGACCTTAAGCAAGGGGAAAGAGTGTCATTGAATACTTCACCTCTTTCACAAAAAATTGGCAATGACTAGATAACTTCGAGTCAAATGATTCATGCGAGGAGTGTGCAGGTAAATACATCAAATTAAATTTTTGGAGAAAATAAGAATGTAGAATTTCATTGTAGGTCTTAATAAAGATGTAGATGGGTGAATTGAAGAATCCTAGTGATTCATCCACTCCTCAAAATTGAAGAAGTATTTGTTGGATTTAAAGGGAATAGAGCAGAAGGAGAGTAATGCTTGGGATTCCAATAATATTCTCATAGCTAAATAGCCCGCCATTGCTATTAGAAGCTTATAGCAAAACTCAAGAGATGACCCAACTCACAAGACATGAAAAGTGAGGTGTAATCTTTTGTGTTATATCTGTAAAAAGACTAACCACACAAGAGAAAATTATTAAAAATTTCACTGCAAATTGATAGGAAATACTTGAGTTTGCAAGTAATCATATCGGATCTACTTGAGTTCGCAAGTAAACCTAACCAAAATCAGTAAAACAACGAGAAAAATCGTAGAAACGTCGTAGAAGAGCAAGCACACGATAGCAATGTCTTTATAGAAAGCAAAATGAAGCAAACAAAAAGCAAGATACAAGAGATCCTCAATTCGAGAGGAGGATCGTCTCTCCCAAATCTCTAGACAAGGGACCCTAATTTCCAATCAATCAAAACATAATCTTTCCCTAATCCCTCTCATCCTCTTTAATACAAAACTTTCCTAATCAATTTTCCCTCCCAAAGCCCTAGCTGCCCCCTCTATTGAATTTTGAAATCATATTGATGGATGGGACCCTTCTATTTGGGCGGACAAAGTAGAGGAGGCGGAACTTGTCTGCCAACTATAAACTTAATCCGGCCTTTGGGCCGGCTCAGCCGTTTCAATGTTTTCCAGCAGCATAACATTATCACCCTCCCAAAGAATCATCTTGTCCTCAAGGTGAAAACTCGGAAACTATTGTTTCACCCTCTCGTATGGCTCCCACGTGGCCTCGTAGTCCGGAAGGTTCTTCTACTGGATGAACACTTCCTTAGTTCCATCTTCTTTCTGGCGAACCCCCATCAGCTCTAAGGGTTCCAGAACCACCTCTAAATCCTCAGTAAGTGTCGCCGGTAGCTCGGGGTTGGCTGTGTAGTCACCAATAGCCTTCCTCAACAGCGAGACGTGAAAAATCGGGTATAGTCGCCGTTGGTGGTAATTTTAGTTGATATGCTACTGCCCCAATATTTTCCAGCACTTCATAAGGCCCAAAGTACCTTGGAGCCAGCTTTTCATTTCTCTTGTTGGCGACTGTCCTCTATTTATATGACCAGAGCTTCAAGAACACCCTCTCCCCCACTTTAAATTGGATGCCCCTCTTATGCCCATCAGCTTGTTTCTTCATAATTTGTTGGGCCCTCAACAAATAACTCTTTATGGGGAGGAGATAGGAGATATGGGGAGAGGCGTGAGAGGATTGAATATGAACGAAGGGGTGTTGAATTTGAAAAAAGAGGGTTGATTATGATTGGAGAGGTGCTGATTTTGAAAGGAGGAGCGGGGATTTTGATGAGGGGTTTGGTTACGAGCATGGAAGAGATGATCAAAACATTCGGGGGGACCACCTGCTTGGGGAATGGGAAGTTATGGAGGAATTAGGGGTAATATAAGAGATTCGAGGTTAAGCTGAAGATGCCTATTTTTAAGGGAGAGGATGCACATGGGTGAATCTATAAGGTGGAGGGATATTTCATCGTCAATGGGTTGATGGAGGAGAGACTGACAACAACAAACATGTGTTTGGAGGGGATGACATTAGCTTGGTACCAGCGGAGAGAGATGAGGCAACCCATCTGGAGCTGGAGGGAGTTCAATGATTTCTTATATGAAGTTAGAATGTTTTCGAACCGACAAGGGAGGGGACTTCTATAAGCAGTTCTTTGCTCTGACGTAGGAATGATCAGTGGAGTAACGTGAGAGGTTTGAGTACTTGGACCGGCTTTTTGAGATATTACTAGAGAGGAAATTTATAAAAGGGCTCAAACTAGAGATCCGAGCGACAATTAGAGTGATGAGGCCCCGTGATTTGGTAGAGACTATGAAGTTAGCCCAGTTAGTGGAGGATCAGAAACACCTAGAGAGGGGGGTTAGAAGCAGAAGCTCTAGAGGCTCGTACAGGATAACCACCACCTTTTTAGCACCCAAGGGTTTGACATTGGGTATCCTTTGAGAGACCCCAAGGAGGGAGAATTGGGGGAAACTTCAGCAAGCTCATTGAGGAGCTGCAGGAGAAGAGGGCGAAGAGGTTGTGTTTCAGATGTGATGAGAGGTATACACGAGACACATATGTAAGGATCAAACTCTTTAGGTTCTCATTATCTGTGATTGCGAGGAAGATGAGCAGGGAGGTGGGAGTGAGACATCGGTAGAAGAGGAAGTGTTATATTTAGACACGACAGATGTCTCCTTGAACTCAGTGGTGGGATAAACTCCAAATCATACCATGAAAGTGAGAGGAGAAACAACAGTCAGGGAGATGGTGTTGTTGATAGATAGTGGGGCTACTCACAATTTCATCTCCAATCAGGTTGTAAACCAATTGAGGGTGAAACTGGTGGACTCAGGGTGCTATGGAGTAATGATAAGCACATGAAAGGTTAAGACTGGTAAAGGAGTGTGTAGAGGGTGGTTCTGACCATACAGGGGGTCTAGGTGAGGGAGGCTTTCCTTCCATTAGAATTAGAGAGTACTGCTGTTATCCTGGGGATGAAATGACTACAGACCTTGGGGGATACGGAGGTTAATTGGGGAGCACTAACAATGGAGCTGGTGTTGGAGCGAAGAAAGGTGATAATCAGGGGAGATGCAGGGTTATCCAAGGCCATGATGTCTCTCCAAACCATGGTGATGACTATATAGGAGGTGGGAGGAGGCTTTTGGGTGGAGCTACAAAGCTTAGAGGTGATCAGATGGAGGAGGGGGAGATCCTTCTTTCTTTCAATAAAACCGCTTATACAATAGTTTAATGTGGTTTTTCAGACACCTCAAGGATTGCCACCATCGAGGGAGAAAGAGCACACCATCACTATGAGGGAGGGGGTGTCATCAATAAGTATCAGGCCTGATCGTTATCATTAGATTCAGAAAGATGAGATTGAGAAGCTAATTTCGGAGATGTTGGAGGCAATGATCATCAAACCAAGTGTGAGTCCTTTTTTTAGCCCAGTGTTACTGGTCAAGAAGAAAGATGGGAGCTGGAGATTCTTTGTGGCTATCGGGCCTTAATTAGGAGACTATACCAGATAAGCTTCTTATTCCAGTGATAGATGATTTACTAGATAAGCTTTGTGGATCAGTGATATTTATGAAGATGAATTTGAAGTATGGGTTTCATTATATTAGGATGAGAGAGGAGCATGTCCTGAGATGACATTCATGACACACGAGGGCACTATTAGTTCCTGATGTTGTTTTTGGCCTCACCAATGCCCCTACTACATTCCAGTCCCTCATGAAGAGGAATAATTATTAGGTCCGGACACCGGACGTAGCTCTACATCCTTGAAATAATATGTCGCCACACCTTCTGTAAGAGTTTCATGGAAGTGCTGCTAGGGGCCATTCAGGGTGCAGAACATATACATGAGATTGACGGAGAGTTGTATTGGAAGGGGATGCATAAGGATGTGGAAGAGATGGTGGCTAGATGTGAGGTATGCCAGAGGAGCAAATATATGACCATGGATTCAGGGGGATTACCACAACCCCTAGCTCT